CAGGGGCGATCAATGGAGGAAAAAGGGGGACATCTGTAATATTTTCAACAATAACAATAAATTTTAAAAAACTGCAAAATTAAAAATATCCCTTCCCGCCCTGACCGGGTTGCTCGGTTGGTTGAAGCATAGTTACGTGCACCAAAAAAGTTTCGGGTTTGATTCCTGGTCATGACACATACCTAGGTTTCAGGTTAGATCTCGGGTGGGGCACGTTCAGTAGACAATCGATTGATGATGCTTCTCTCTCCCATCAATGTTTCTCTCTCTCCCTTCCTTTCTCTCTAAAAAATCAACAAAAAAACATATTCTTGGGTAAGGATTAAAAAAATGTATATATATCCCTTCCCATGGATGGCGATGGTTACACAACAACGTGAATGTACTTAATGCTACTGAACTCTACACTTAATACAGTTAAAATGTCAAATTTGGTGTTATGTTTAATGACATTAATAAAAATCTAATTAACAAACTTTTTAAAAATCCCCTCCCTAAATGGATAAACAAAATGTGCTATATCCATGCCATGGACTGTTACTCAGCCACAAAAAGGAGTGAAGTGCTGATACATGCTACAATGTGGATGAACCTCAAAAACATTATGCTAAGTGGGAAAAAAAGACATAAACGTCACGCATGGCATGATTCCACTTATATTGAATATCCATAGTAGGTAAATCCACAGAGTCAGAAAGCAGAATGGTGGCTGCCAAGGACTAGGGGACGAGGGCGACCGGGAGCGAGTGCTTGATGGATATGGGGTTTTCTTTTGTGGTGATGAAAATGTTTTGAAACTAGATAGAGGTGGTGGCTGCACAATAAAATGTGTGTACTAAATGCCACCGAACTGCATGCTTTAAAATGGTTGATATTGTTATAGGAATTTCGCCTCCAGGTGGCTCTGCCATCTGTGCAGTGTGGCTTGTGTAAGAGGGGCAACCTCCCTGGGCCTCACAGAGGATAAAGAGGCCCATCCTTCCTCCCCACAGGGGTGCCCCAGGGATCCAGTGATGAACTGAGGCGAAAGAGCTCTGAGAAGCATGAAGCTCTGCTGACACAAGATGTTTGACAAGCGGGGAGGGGATAGATTCGGGAGGGGGGGGAACAGTGTGAGGATAAAAGGGGACATCTGTAATACTTTCAACAATAAAGATAAATTTTAAAAAAAGAAAGATGTTTCACAACACAATCCATGCTGGGAGACTTACCCTATGGGCTGGAGGGAGAGAGAAACTGAGTGACTTTCAATCTCTCTCTCACCCCCCCCCCC